CGAGTCGCGTGCGTTTATGGTGTGATAATGCACGCGGAGAATGTTGGGAGAATACGAGAGAAGCGTGTATTAGGCCTATATAGATATCACATAGTAAACAATTTTACTCAAAAGATCAACTTTAAAACTCTCCCAACATGTACTCGGTGACGTCAAGCGCATGATTTTACTGTCGCTTAAATTTTCAAGCGAGCGAAGAAGCAAAAAAAAACCTGTTTAAAATGCTAGGGGGGGGGAGGGTGAACTCCAATGATACGCAGACTGAATGGCTAAATATGTTTTTCACCATTTGGGCTGCCGGATTTAGCATGAAGGACGTTATAAATCGTAGATTTCGACATGTTGCTCAGTTTTAACTTTTGAAATTATTGTACTTTTTGCCTTTCGCTGAAAATATATTTATCAGTTTTTAACAGAAACATTGGAGGTATTTTCTTAATCACTTATATTCAGTTTTTGTTGCCTTTTTTCTATGTTTTTGGTATTCCTGCATGTATATTTTTCAAGTTTTCTCTCGACTATTTTGCACGCTTTTTCATTTTCGAAACAAAAACAAATTCGACAAATGCCAAGCAGATGTTTTTACCCGAAGAACTTTTTATATTGTTTTTACACGTAGAACTATGGGTAATATTGCTTTGTTCCTTTGGTCTATTCCTTCCCGCTTTCTGAATTTGATACATTTTGTATACCAAAGGCACGAGTTGAGCGCCGTATATGCACGAGGCGCCGTATAGGGGTCCAGGGCATGCCATTTCCCCGAATTTGGGGTAATATTTTACAGAACTGTGATGGTCAGAAAACGACATCGTGACATATCAGAGGCCCTGGTCAACTTTTTTGCTCTACAGCCTGAGCCTGGGGGGCCCATTTGGCCCATTGGGGTTTGGGGGCCCCGGGTTCGTCCGGTCCGAGGCAATATAGTAGTTACGCCACTGGTTATTTCGACGATGATCAGTATTGAAAGAAGAGTTAAAAGTCTTCCCGTCGTTACCGATGTTCGATGAAAAATACGATAAGATGTCGCCAAATATCGAAATTTATCACTAAAAGACCGAATAATGAAAAACCAACGAAAATATTTGTCGATCTTAAATTAAGGAAATATCAGCCAATCTAGCATTTCCATCCAACTTTCCCGTCGGCCATAACATAGCGAGAAGCGCCATCAATGGGCTACTAGAAATACATGCATGCAGCAACCCGTCGCATGTATTTTCTAAACATTGATTTAATTTAACATGAAGTATTAGTAATTGATTAACACTGAACCTGAACGCAGGCTCGCGTTTATGTCAGTGTTGCCATGGCAACACGATAAATTTAAATTTTATTATATTTTTTGTACAACACGCCAAAAATAGTTGAAATATTATTGCTTTTAATTATATATCACAATGAATTTGCCAAATATGTACTTGTAGGTATGTTGCTCTGCATTTTGTGAGCTTTGATTTAATCTAAAATTTAACGTGAATCACTTCGTAAAATGTTTTGAAATGTTCATTTTAATATTAAACTATGAACTGCTTTTTCCGATATAGAACTGTACAGTTTTTTTATCGGTTTATAAAACAAAATAAGTTCAAATTGTTGAGTAATTTCAGTTCGGTTTTCAAATGAATTTGCTCTCCTCTACATTTTACCTTTTATTCTTAAATTGAACAAGGTAATTTAGCAAACTTTAATACAGCTTCATTGAAAAGGAAAGCAGTGCATGTTTTGCGCAATAAATTAAAGCAACAAAATTCATAAACATTAAGCATTCAAAGCAAACTTGCCCTATATTCCACGATTTTCCACACTAAATCAATTCTTCTCATTTCTTCAGACAAAAATTGCTTCAAAGCTCATTGTGTGAAACGTGATTTTCCAAATATATGCTTTTCAAAATTGAAATCTTGCTTATTCCACTCCTGGCAAACAGCCATATTTTTGAGATCAGTGAGGATGATCATGCACCCACGGTTGGTGACCGACGCCCGCGCTCGTTGATGAACTTTAGACCTGGCTAATGCATGACGAGCCAGACAGCTCCAGATTGGCAGCTCCAAATTGGCAGCTCCAGATTGGCAGCTCCAGATTGGCGAACGGAATAATGTTTTCATTTTCCATCACGTATACTAAGGAATATGACAAGAAAAAATGGTCTTCCAAAAGAATTGAATATCCATCGGTAGTTAAGCGGCCAAAGCAGTTTGTTTACAAACTAGTCGTTCCGGCTCCATATTGAAATTGTATCTGGAGCTGGCTCCAGATTCGCCAATTTGGAGTTGCCAATCTGGAGCTGTCTGGCTCGTCATTGGCTAATGCTCTCCTTTCCCCGGGTGTAAATAGCCGGGGGGAATTAATACACTCGCACGGCGCTTCGCGCCGTCGGCTCGGGGATTACTTAAAACCGCTAGCAAATCGGAACAGAACAAAACCATTTCATGCCGAAATAACATAGCTAATTTCTTTCGAAGCTGTACAGTCCTCAAAATCTGAGTATGACCAAGGAATTCAAACATATTCCTGAGAAAAAGAAGATTACGTTCCCAGCAAATATGATGAGGTTGATAAAATAAATAGATCCAATCATCGAGCGATTTCTTCTGAAGAATTAAATATACAATTAAAATAACGCCGCTGTGTTTCAAGTTTGCAAACATGAATTACAAGTACTCAAGTGTATAAATGACATATACAAGTCACAGCCTCTGTGTCTGCATGTGTTTGAGAACATTTCATATTTTATAAGCGCACGCAAGCTAATAGAAATTTGTATGTAAAAAATACCGCATGAATAGCAGTATTGTATAAGATGTACAAATACGAGCCGCAGGCGAGTGCCTGTTATATACAACACGGATGCGTTCATTATTCCAATGACATTATAATTTGAATTAATCAATTTTAGACTAGCACAAAGCAATTTTAAAATGAGGGGAGGTGGCCGGGGAGGGGGTTATCTAAAAAATTACTAGCACAAAGCAATTTTAAAATGAGGGGAGGTGGCCGGGGAGGGGGTTATCTAAAAAATTATGGGTTATTTTGTTCTAAGTTTTTACGTGTTATAATATCTTATGACAAGCTTACGAGTAGCTCGCTGCTTCTCTAGGCAATGTGTATATATGATGCTAGTGACACAAATAATAACACCAGAATGCTGCATATTGACGTGCATTCAACTACCTGGAAATACAAGTAAAACTTCGAGGTTTAGAGTGAAAGCACCGATCTTCCAGACATCGAAGTTTTACTTGTATTTACTCAGGTGAATGACTAAACTGTTGTCATGGTTACTACCAACGTTGGTACAGACCGTTTGAGTTTATATCACAGATAGTAACAGCAATGCAGCATCAAGTTGGGCATCATGAAGAGTATGAAGAGTACTCGGACATAACTACATTACTCCTCTTTTTCTTACTTATAATAACATTTTATTATAAGCTTTACAATGCGAATGGAATATGCGTTTCTTGATGGGAGAGGAAGTGTTGTTGGAAAATTAGTAGTAGAATTAGGTAACTATCGACAACACTAACATTTATACTAATTTTCCAACAGCACTTCCTCTCATATCCAGAAACGCCTCTCATATCTCATATCCTTATACATATCTATACCACATTGGTAAATATATATATATATATATATATATATATATATATATATATATATATATATATATATATATATATATATATATATATATATTCGTTTTACCTCAAAAACCACAACAGTCGTTTCATCCCCCATGTTTCATTCCATACTTTTCTAAATTTAGTGGTGGAGAAAACAACATAAATTTTCAAGACTAATTAGGATATCATTCAAGGTTATATACTAAATGCATAGCAATGCATTGAGTACATTATGTAGCAAATAGTCATACGTATGCATAAACTGTTAAATATTAATATGTGATTTGCTATTTCATGTAGCTGCATCTATCTGAGGCGTGCGAAGTAAACAGTCTATGATAATGTACTCTTCATGGAGAAATAAAGTTATGCTCCCAGTTAATTGGTCTTATGAACAGTCTTTGGAGAAACAAATAACTGTAATGCAATTTGTTCATAATTCTATTCATGAAAAAGTCTTTGGTATACCATTCTTCAGCGTAAATCTTCCGCATACGGACTTGGCATTTTATAATTACAAAATTCGCCACACTTAATCGATCGCGCAATTAACACGCACTGTTAAACCCCACGGGAGTCGACGCATATATAATAATGATCATGCACGTACGTGTGCGATATTTACATATTTGTTCTGGACATATATTTGTTCTGGACAACCTTTTTGACAATGACGGTATATATATATATATATATATATATATATATATATATATATATATATATATATATATATATATATATATATATATATATAATATATATTATATATATATATATACGGCTAGAATTTTCGGGAACAGCAAAAGTGTATTTTCACTTGTATTGTTATCAAATTGACAAACCCTGCTAACTTCGTTCTTCTAACTTATTCCATCCAAAGGATTTTGCTTGCGGATAGTTAAGCTTTGTCCATCCAATTCTTGTGTTGGGGTTACGCTCATTCTATGCGATCCACGACCATGATCGATTCATTTTATACATCTTCCAGGTACATATTAGGAAATCTCTCAAAATTATGTATTTATTTCATATTGAAATTCAATTAATTCGTACATTTATAGACTGTTGTAATGAAGTTGAATACTTAACGTGTATAACCCTGGGCTCGCTTGTAATAAAAAAGCGATACATTTACGTTTTAATCGTTTTAATTTAGTTCGCTGCGCTCACTCATCAGATATCATGTTCAACATTCGAAATAAATCTGGTATTTTCCGCACCCACTTTTATTCTCAATGTATATACGTCAAGCCAAAGTTTTTGTTAATGAGCAATGATTACCTTGGAAGAAGTTTATAAGAAACATAGTATAACAGTCAGAGATTTCTCCATGATGAATGAAACATAACTCATTGTCTTCCATGTTTGGGACCATTTGATATTACGTATATATCATACACAACAACGAGCAAGAGCACGAAACTGATCTTATAAAAATACTTTTTCCAAATCAAATGACGAATGATTCTTCGTGTCCCATAAAATGTTGGCGTAAGGAGCACGACGTGATAAATGAGGAAAAGAGAACCAAGACAGCTGTTAAATAACCAGAACACTTCCAACATCTTCGGATATAGATAAAGATGAAAATGTTCGCAATTTGCAGTCGTGCGAAATTCACGGAAGAACAATCAACAGCCCAGATGGTGAACAACGTCAATCCAATAAGCTGGCCAAGCAGTATAGCAATAAATACTAACCACTTAAAATTGGAAAAACATTTGCAAAGGCGGTCACATTTGAAGATCCTTGACTGGCGACGAGCAAGTACTGGTACCTGTTAGAAAAAAATGACAAGTATTAAATTATTTGAAGCTATAATGAAGCACAACGACCGAGCAGCGATTTTACGATTGGAGGTCCGTTGAGATGAAGTAAAGTCCTCCCCAATAACCATGTGTGTATTGCCTGATGATATTATGCCGATGTATTTATGTGCATATATGTGAAGATTCTTCCCTATGATTATCGTGTGTTATAATCCTGAATAAAATTAGTAGACTTCAATAAATTTTGGTATTTAGGTGACATGTGTTGCAAATCACTTTAGCTGAACCAACATTCTCTCTGGGGGAGGGTGGGGTGGGGGGAATCTAAGGTAAATAGTTGCTTTAATTGGAAAATGCTCACATTTTCATCATATGTTTTTAAATTTGGGTGAATTTTTCGAAAAGTCTACAGATATTTTTTCCAATATTGTCTGATGGATAATCCTTTTACCAAATTAATTGTACATTCATTTTCAAAACATAATTTTCAAATTAAAATTAAAAACTCTACAATTAGGAACATAATTCAGGGTTTGATTAAACTTTTGGAAGGCCATGTAAGGAGGTGGGTAGACGGGGGGCATTATGTAGGTGCCCTGCTTTAAGGAAAATTGTAGTTAATTTATCCGTAAGGCTGCATTGACAAAATACTATGGCAGTTAATAACAAAAAACTATCAGGGACAGATATGGCACATATAGATTATTATATAGTACAAGATTTCATGACTGTTACATTTTTTTCACATATTTTGTCAATCATTAAAATTTCATAGTGCAGCAATATACCTATAAAGTATGTTTTAATTTGGTTTCATATGCTTTTATAGCGCATGTACCCGCGTGATTTCCTCAAAATTGGTGCTGTCTTAACGAAGGTCTTTTTATTATTTAACAAATGTACAGTCTGTGTGAATCACCACATTATATGCAAGGTTACACCACATGTTACAGTACATGTTACACCAAAAGTTCAATATTTTATTATATATCCTTACAATTACAACATGTTAAGCTACCTTTAAAAAAATCTAGTTCCTTTAAATTATAGATGTAACATGTAGTAACATGTCAAGAACTATAGTAGAGTATATTAATGCCCCCTCAATGATGCTTAGGAAACAATAATACCCAGGAGGCTTGATACAAAATTAAAGTAGTTATTTGATTGAAACTGGTTAACTGGTAGCTATTTCAATTCTACTGCCTCCTTTTATATATAATTGAATTAATTGCCAATATATTCACATAGTATAATAGTTTGGAAATGGAATCAATACTTGTATATTTTTAGCAATAGCAAATGAGCATTGTTATTGATCAAACAACATTGTTTCACATAGCGACAGACAAGGAAACATCTGTATTTAAATTCACTACTTATTTTTTATCCAGACACAAATTGATGCAAAAATTGTTTCAGGTTTGGCTTAGCTATAGCCTTACATCGGGCTATTCCATTTAATATCCGTACCCCCCTGTCGAGGATCCCTGGAATTCTTCAGGGGTAAAGGGTTTTGAGCTTGGAATTCTTCAGGGGTAAAGGGTTTTGAGCTTGGAATTTTGGAATTCTTCAGGGGTAAAAGGTTTTGAGTTGAAATTCTTCAGGGGTATAACCATGAAAAACATGTATCCTCGACAGGGGGTGTCGTTATAGCTGTATTGTTTAAAGCTTCAAGTTTTTAACACAAGCAAAAGCTGTCACTCCAAAGTCCTGGCAACAATATGTCAATTTAACAAAACAACGACGTGTGCGATGATTTCATTTAGCCAATTCTTCCATGGTTATAATAAATATACTCATACTGTAGATCGATAAAAAGTCATTCATAAATACCATGCCATTTTGTAAGTATATACCCAAAACAACGACGTGTGCGATGATTTCATTTAGCCAATTCTTCCATGGTTATAATAAATATACTATACTGTAGATCGATAAAAGGTCATTCATAAATACCATGCCATTTTGTAAGTATATACCCAACGTCCCAATACTTTTTCATACGATTAATATAATATATCCTTCGATTTATATTGTTTGATTTCGCATTCCAAATATGATAAACATTGTGAATTCTCTCTTCGCGTATGTCCACGCGTAATTCTCGTAAAAAACACGCATTAATTGTGTCGGCAGCATTGATGATCACGGCAGCCAATCAAATAACGATTTCGATTCGATTTCCCCAGAGTCATGCCACAACCTAACCCGCGAACAGGCATACTCTGGGAACGAGATTGGGATTATATTTGTTACTAAATGTACCAAAATAATTAGAACTACAACTGCTGTTTTCAGAGGTTTTGTTCCATTTTGTCCATATTAATTAGTGTACCATTTTATGTATATCGACTAATGTTTACGAAGACGAAAGTTAATTATTAAGCAGTCTAGATGAGATTCCCGTCTAAATGAGATTAAGCAGTCTAGATGAGATTCCCGTCTAGATGAGATTCTCGTCTAACCGTTTCCCGTCCGTTTAGACCGGTAAGTTAGACAGGAAAGTTCGGACGCGAAACTTGTCTGTCCCCGGATTCATATTAGAGAGTTTCCCGTCTAATACGAGTTTCTCGTCTCTAATATGAATTCGGCTAATGTGTGTTAAAACTGCAAGGTTTAAACTATTGATCTCATTAAAATCCACAACCACAACGATTATACGTATTGATTGTTTCTTGACGATAGTAGACGCGTACGCATGCATGTTGCGTAAGAGGTTACTTCGCTGGCCTCAGAATGACAAAACGTAACAAAGCTTTACACTAACCCTATTCCAAACACCAACTTTATAACTTAACCCTATAATCCCTACAATAACCCTTGCTGGTTATTAAATAACATACCGTAGTAAAGAATTTAATCACCATTTCTAAGTCTTTTACTTTTTCGGAACAAAAAACTACTTGAGAAAGACAAGGGCTTTAAAAATTATTTGCAATTGAAGTAGATAGTTATGATAAGACAGGGGTGGCGCCAGGGCCGCCCATACAGGGGGGGGGGCAAAGGGAGCAATTTTCTCCGCGACCCCAGCTCAAGGAGGGCTGGCAAATACAAATTTGCAAGGAGATAAAAAGTTTGTCGACGGAGGGGGGGGGGGAATAATTGTGGTTCATCGGGGCCCCAAAGGTATAATAGGCTCTGGGCCCCCATATTTCACTGAGCTGGCCTGGGCTGCGCCAGTAATTCTCCGACGGGGGAAGTCATCGGTGCTCTCTTAAATCTCTTTCGACCTTTGACAATTGGTATTAAAACCACAAGAACTACCGACAAGTGACCCCCCCCCCGACACTCCGCCTTGATATGAAAACCTTTGAATTTAAAGACACACAAAATTGTTAATTTTTTTTCAATATTTCAATTTATTGGCATCAATTATAAACGAGACAATGGCCTGCCTGGCCCAGTTGTTGGGTCAACATGTATAAACAGGATCATAATATAACAGCTCAACGCAACTGGAGGTTATATGCACACGAGTATTGCATATTTTCCCGGGGCGTGCTGGGGCCAACTGCCTAGCCTAGGGGCCCTACTAAATGCGCGAGGTCCCTATATTCGCGAGGCAGCTAAAATGGGTGTATCCCAATACTAAAATGGCCGTGTTCTCGTAAAATTAGGCGTGGCACAGTAAAGCGCGAGGCCCGTGGCATTTGCCGCATCTGACACGTGGTTAATCCGGCGTTAAACGAGCAACAAGCTTCCATTTTCTTTAAACGCGACGTGTGGGGAGACAATAATAATTTCTGGTGTCGCACTGGGGTAACATGTCTCAATGCTGTATTTTTGGGTACTAGTACTTGTGGAATACAATAAGATCAATAAACAATAGTGTATCGAAATAAAGTAATTTTACTGATTATTTTAACTGTGCATCAAAGTGAACACACATTAAAATAATTATTCTAAACTATTTGCTATAATTTGAGTTTGAGGCAAGCCTGAAAATAAATTTCCAACGGTGCCTGACAAAGTGTCAGGTATCAACTGATTGGTGCCTGACACTGGACATTTTGTGCCTGACAAAAATATTAATGCAACAGAGCAACTATAGTTTTTGTTGCATGCCATATATGGCATGCAACTTTCATATAGCTCTAAATTTCGTGTCACGGTGGCGGTGAGCGGTGAGCGGTGAGCGGTGAGCGTACCAGTCACGTGCAGATTCGTATAATACGACAAATACCGAGTTTTTAATTAAATCGAGGTAGGTAAAGCTTTACTGTTTTAACTTACCTTATATTCTGTTATTTGTTGTGATTTTGGAGCTGTTGTGCTCGCACTGCAGATTAATATTCACTGAGGCGTTTATATTTTATATTTATAATATAGCATTTGTAAATTCTGAACGCTGATTGGCTAAGAGCCGTGTTGTCTGGTATTCTGTGAAATGATGAAAAGTATCCAAATATAGTAAATTACTGCTAAAATTCTGAATAGGCTGCTTGATCTTATACTTTAATTAGAGTTTTGGATAACGCACACAACATATAGAATGATACCTTGGCCCAGAGGTTTTTTTAGTTTACTGTTCAGTGTATGCCTGCCTATTTGTAGCAATATTCATTCTCCTGAATTTCATTCAATTTAAAACATCACATCTATTCAATTTAATATAAATATATATTTATATTCATTCACTTTAATCTTGCAATATACATTAAATGTAATCCTGCAATATACATTCAAAAAAATCTGTATTTTATAAATTTATTAAACACACCTCTTTGGGCCGACGTGAACTTTGTCTGTTAATACAAAAGCAAGCAAATTTGTCTTGTAGATTTCAAATGAAACCATTCCTCTCCATTTCGCATTTCGAATAATAGACTCGGGATTACTAAAAGCGAATGTAAACTCTCCATCTAGTATTGCTTTCTCGTCCTCTTCGTTTGACAGTGAAGTAACACGGCATCCACGCTTTCTTAATTCACGGACGTGAGAGTCAATGAAAGAGTTCAATTTGCAAATGACTATTAAGATGGGTTTCTCCAGAAAATTGTGGCTTTTGCCAAGTCGTCGTGCTAC